CCGTTACACGCACATACCGACACACAGCCGAGGCGTTCAACCGACAGATGAGGCGAAAAGGTGTAGGTAGGTATCCGCTTGTACTGTACTGCATGTGTACGGCACATCAGTGGGATGTACGGCACGCGCCTTTGAGGAAGGCCTCCTCGGCTTGGGCTATTTGCACGCACAACGACACGTGGAGCAGGACGGCGCCACGTACGACAGTACGACGCGTTCTTAAGGCGCTGATGTACAGTTTCCTGTGTGGAAGCCTTGTGGGGGTTGTGCGCTCGAAGTTGCGCCCACGGTTACATTGGCGCCCTCCAGTGGTGGCGAGATGCGGTTTCGGAATTCTTAACAGCAGCTGTATCGTTGTATGCACGATCTCGTTGATGCCGGCCATGCATGCCGTACATACACGCGCTACAAAAATTGCTGTACTACTAAACTCTGTGTGTATCTATTTTTAATTGTCTGCTATTGTTATTACCTGCCGTACTACCTGCCGTACTACCTGCCGTACCATCAGTGCGATCATCCAGGATGAAACCAATGCGTCGTTATTTGTGTACGTGTGCATTTATATACGTGTGTTTGTGCGCGTCTGAATGCCTTTATGTAAATTTGTATGCATATGTATGTATGTATGTATTATATTTGTGAGAGGCAACATCGTGCAAACCTGCGAAAGGGCCTCTGGAGCCCTCTGGGTGAAGAGCGGGTGATGGGGGGCCTGATGTGCCGCACCGGAAAAACCGCTACGCACAGCCCCTGTTCCGTACGTCAGTTTGAGGCATGTACGACATGTACAATAGTAAGCCTACGAATTGAGGTACAGGGAAGGAGCTGCAAGCGTGAGGCGTATGTGTGTGCGTGTCCGTAGATGGAGACATGGTTAGTTAACAGGTGGTTATTGTTAGTTAGGACGTCCGCAATCGGTTAGTCAGCGATATATAAAANCGGGGGTGATGGTGGGTCGATCATTATAATAAACGCAGCAGTCGGCTCATTTAGGGCGAAGTGGCAGCAGCACGAGGAGGAGGGCGAGGGCGAGGTGGACTGTAATATGTA